CCATTGTGTGTATGTACCATAGTTTGTTTATCCATTCATCTGTTGATGGGCATCTAGGTTGTTTCCATCGTTTTGCTATTGTGAACAATGCTGGCGTGAATATAGGTGTACATATGTCTATTCGAGTCCGTCACTGATTTCTTGACTGCTGCTTCCATGGGCATTGATTGTGGATCCAAGTAAAATGAAATCCTTGACAACATCAGTGTTTTCTGTTTATCATGATGTTGCTTATTGGTCCAGTTGTGAGGATTTTTGTTTTCTTTATGTTGAGGTGTAATCCACATTGAAGGGTGTAGTCTTTGATCTTCATCAGTAAGTGCTTTAAGTCCTCTTCACTTTCAGCAAGCCAGGTTGTCATCTACATATCACAGGTTGTTAATGAGTCTTCCTCCAGTCCTGATGCCCCTTTCTTCTTCACACAGTCCAGCTTCTTGGATTATTTGCTCAGTATACAGATTGAATAAGTATGGTGAAAGGATACAACCCTGATGCACACCTTTCCTAACTTTAAAGCACCCAGTATCCCGTTGTTCTGTTCCAATGACTGCCTCTTGATCTATGTACAGGTTCCTCATGAGTACAATTAAGTGTTCTGGAATTCCCATCCTTCACAGTGTTACCCATAACTTGTTATGATCCCCACAGTCGAATGCCTTCGCATAGTCAATAAAACATAGGTAAACATCTTTCTGGTATTCTCTGCTTTCAGCCAAGATCCATCTGACATCATCAGTAATATCTCTCATTCCATGTCCTCTTCTGAATCCAGCTTGAATTTCTGGAAGTTCCCTGTCGATGTACAGCTGCAACCATTTTTGAGTGATCTTTGGCAAAATTTTACTTGTGTGTGATATTAATGATATTATTCAATAATTTCCCCATACTATTGGATCACCTTTGTTTGGAATGGGCACAAATATGGATCTCTTCTAGTCAGTTGGCCAGGTAGCTGTCTTCCAAATTCTTCGGCATAGACTAGTGAGCACTTCCAGCGCTGCATTGGTTTGTTGAAACGTCGCAATTGATATTCTGTCAATTCTTGGAGCCTTGTTTTTCACCAATGCCTCCAGTGCAGCTTGGATTTCTTCCATCAGTACCACTGGTTCTTGATCATATGCCACTCCCTGAAATGGTTGAATGTTGTCCAATTCTTTTTGGTACAGTGACTCTGTGTATTCCTTCCATCTTGTTTTGATGCTTCCAGCGTCATTCACTATTTTGCACATAGAATCCTTCAATATTGCAACTCAGGATTTGAATTTTCTCCTCTTTCAGGTTGAGAAATACAGAGTGTGCTCTTCTCTTTTGGTTTTCTAACTCCAGGTCTTTGCATATGTCATTAGAATATTTTGTCTTCTTCAGCCACCCTTTGAAATCTTCTGTTCAGCTCTTTTACTTCATTATTTCTTTGATTCACTTTAGCTACTCTATATTCCAGAGCAAGTTTCAGAGTCTTTTCTGACATCCATTTTGGTCTTTTCTTTCTCTCCTGTCCTTTTGCTCTCTTCATGTATGATGTCCTTGATGTCATCCCATAAATCGGCTGGGCTTCGGCATTAGTGTTCAATGCATCAAATCTATTCCTGAGATGGTCTCTAAATTTAGGTGGGTATATTCTACATCATACTTTGGCTCTCATGGACTTGTTTTACATTTTTTCAGTTTCCACTTGCATATGAGCACTTGATGGTCTGTTCTGCAGTTGGTCCCTGGCCTTGTTCTGACTGATGATACTGAGCTTCTCCATCGTCTCTTTCCGTAGATGTAGTCGATTTGATTCCTTTGCATTCCATCTGGCGAGGGTCATGTGCCTAGTCACCATTTATGTTGTTGAAAAAAGGTATTTTCAATCAATAGATCATTGGTCTTGCGTCGTTTCTATCACCAAGGCCATATTTTCCAACCACTAATCCTTCTTTGTTTCCAACTTTTGCATTCTAATCACCAGTAATTATCAATGCATCTTGATTGCATGTTTGATCAATTTCACACTGCAGAAGTTGGTAAAAACCTTCAGTATCTTCATCTTTGGCATTAGTGATTGGTGGGTAAATTTGAATAATAGCCATATTAATTGGACTTCTTATAGGCATACGAATATTGTCCTATCACTGACCGTCTTGTACTTCAGGATAGATCTTTTTATTTTGAACATTTTATCGTGCTTCAGGTGAAAGTTTACAGAGCAAATTAGTTTCTCATTCAAAAATTTATACACAAATTGTTTTGTGACATTGTTTGCAGTCCCCCTATGTGTCAGCACTCTCCCCGTTTCCACCCCAGCTTCCCCATTTCCATTCGTCCAGTTTTCCTGCCCCTTCCTGCCTTCTCATCTTTGCTTTTGGGTTCAGGATAGCTCTTGAAGTATTCTTACTGATAATGAATGCAATGCCATTCCTCTTCAATTTGTCATTTCCGGCATAAAGAGATATAGGGGTCACGATTTATAACACACATTTTTGGGGGGCATAATTCAATCCATAACAAGGGTGAAATAGGGTAATGTTGCCAACACAGTCCTGGACACGTGGGAAGTATTCAAAAGAAGTTTTTTTAAATTGTTTTCTTCATCCAGGTCACTTTCTTTTGACAAACTTGCTGCTGGACAAGCTGAAAGCCTCAGCCCCTTCACGGATCATCAACCTCTCCTCCTTGGCCCACGTTGCTGGGCACATAGACTTTGACGATTTGAACTGGGAGAAGAAGAAGTATGACACCAAAGCAGCCTACTGCCAGAGTAAGCTGGCCATTGTCCTCTTCACCAAGGAGCTGAGCCGGCGGCTGCAAGGTGCGTTGGTGAGGAGCCTCACTGGCCCCCGCCACTTCCTTTAGCTCTGAGTCTGGAACAGCCCTGCTGTGACTTTGGCCAGTGGGAGGTCAAGAACTAACTTAAGATAAAGAAGCTACATATGTGGCACACATACCACCATGCCTCCTTCTGAGGTCTGAAGCAGACATCACTGATCAATCACAGCATTCTTCTCTGCTGAACCTGGACAGGCATCTAATCTTTTGGTTCTCTAGGCCAGTGGTTCTCAACCAGGGATGATTGTGGCTCCCCTCACAGGAGATATTGGGGTGTCTACAGACATTTTTGGTTGTCACAGTTGGGGGTGGGGGTGCTGCTAAACATACCACAATGCATAACCCAGCCCCCAACAGCAAAGAGTGATCTGGCCCAAGATGTCGATAGTGCTAAGGTTTAGAAACCTGCTCCAGGCCCTTGCTTCTCAAAGGCAGTCTGTCTTAGTGTCCTAGTGCTTCTGTAACAGAAATACCACAAGTGGGTGGCTTTAATGAACAGAAATTTATTTTCTCACAGTTCTGGAGGCTAGAAGTCTGTATTCAGGGCACCAGCTCTAGGGGAAGGCATCCTTTCCATCTGCTCCCATGGAAAATCCCTCTGTCAGCTTCTATTACTCTGGAATTTCTTGGTTCCAAGGGATCTCCATGTGGCATTTATCTTCCCCCCATTTGTGCTTTCTTGCTTCTGTGTCTAATCTACTCTTTTTATATCTTAAAAGACCCACCCTACACTGATACAGCCTCATTAGCATAACAGAGAAAAACCTATTCCCAAATGGAATTACATCCACAGGTATAGGGGTTGGGATTCCAATGCATATTTTGAGAGAACACAATTTAATCCATAACAGGGTCCAGGACCAGCAATGCCAGCATCACGTAGGAGCTTGTAGTAACTGCCACATCTAAGGCCCCAGCCCAGCCCCCTGATGCAGAGTCTCTGGGTTTGACACACCTTCCAGGTGATGTTTGCACCCACTCAAGTTTGGGCAGCCACGCACTGGAGTTGCCTCAGGGAGCCCTGGTTGTACAATGGTTAAGTGCTTGGCGGTTCAAACTCACCCAGCGGCTTTGTGGGAGAAAAAACCTGGCCAGTCTGCTCCCATAAAGATTACAGCCTTGAAAACCCCATGGGACAATCCAACTCTGTCACATGGAGTCACCATAAGTCGAAAATTGTCTTGAGAGCACTCAACAATAGCAACCCTTAAGGAGCCCCGGTGGCGCAGTGGTTAAGCATTTGGCTGCTAACCGAAAGGTCGGCGGTTCGAACCTCTCTAGTGTCTCCATGGAGAAAGGACCTGGTGATCTGCTTCTGTAAAGATCATAGCCAAGAAAACCCCATGGGCAGTTCAACTCTCACATGGGGTTGCCATGAATCAGAGTCAACTTGACGGCACCCAACAGTGAGGTTTTAGAGTGAGAGATAAGGTCTGAATTTGAGTGTAGAAAACAGCGTCGTTTGGGGAAGGCTCAGGAGTTCACGGTGGGCGGCAGCAGCCTTCCAGGTAAGGAGTGGACCTGTCGTCTGCCTGCCCTCCCCACTCTTCACTTCTCTGCCCAGGAACGGGCGTGACCGCCAACACGCTGCACCCCGGCGTGGCCAGGACTGAGCTGGGCAGACACACGGGCATGCGCACCTCCACCTTCTCCAGCTTCACACTCGGTGAGTTCCCTCAGCTAAGCCCCCTGCTGTTGCCCTCCCAGCCTGGGGCCCAGGACCCTTTGACTCCCTGCCCCCTCTTCTGCGTCTCCCATGGTGCTGAGGACAAGTCATCTTTCTGTGTTTGAATGTGTTGTGAGTTAGAGGGATTTCAGGGCTGATGAAGGAAAAAGAGATGGCTATGAGATAGCTGAGCAGCCCTGGTGGCGCAGTGGCGAAATGCTCAGCTGCTTATAAAGGGTTGGCAGTTTGAACCCACCCAGCTGCTCCACGGGAGAAAGACCTGGCAATCTGCTCCTGTAAAGATTACAGCCTAGAAAACCCTATGGGGCAATTCTTCTCCGTTACATGGTGTCGCTATGAGTTGGCATTGACTCGACACCACACAACCACATAACGTCTTATCTAGGGCTAGTAGATGTTGGCCTCGGCACAGCCCCAGGACAGTTGCCAGCACCCCGTTTGATAGACAAGAACACTGTGTCTCAGAGAGGGAAGCCGTGGAGCACAGTGGTTAAGAGCTTGGGTCCCAGAGTCAGGCTGTCCTAAGAGTTAACTCCAGCTTCACTATGAACTAGCTGCGCAACCTGCTTAAGTGACTTCGCGTCTCTGAGCCTCAGTTTTCCCATCTGTAAAGTGAAGGCCATCCTCACAGTCTTTGGGAGGATTTGATGAGACTTTCCTTAGAAGAGCCGGCACCGTGCCTGGCCCCAAACATAGGCTAAATAAATAGTTAAACCAACCCAAACCAGTTGCCATGAAATTGACCCCTGACTCATTGCAACCCCATGTGTGTCAGAGTAGAACTGTGCTCCATAGGATTTTCAGTGACTGTGATCTTTCAGAAGTAGATCACCAGGCCTTTCTTCCAAGTGTGTGTACTAGGTATCAGGAATCTTAAGTAGAGGCTGGCTCAGGATGCTGCCAGTAAATAAAAATTATTTTAGTGAAAAAGGGAGATGGGATGAAGAATCAGGGCTGGCTGAGAGGAGAGAGAGCTTAGCTTCTATTTGCCTTGGAAAAGCAGGGAAGGCTTCCTGGAGGAGGCAGCTGTTGCGGTGGTCCCTGACTATAAGCTGAAATGTTGGTGGTTCTAACCCACCCAGAGGTACCTTGGAAGAAAGGCCTGGCAATCTGCTTCTGAAAGTTCACAGCCTTGAAAACCCTTTGGAGCAGTTCAGCTCTGCAACACATGGGGTTGTTGTAAGTCGGAGTCGACTAGATGGCAACTAACAATAGCAGCAACTGCTTCTGGAGAGGTAGAGAGAACCACAGGGGCAAAGCGTGGAGGTGGGATTGCCCTTTGGGTTCTGTGGGGTTCCAGGGTGACTTCTGGGCTCAGCCGACCCCCTGAGGGTGGAGCAGAGCTTTCCGTATTCTCTTTTGTGAATATGTGTGCAGTGAATGCTCTCTGGACTGATTACAGGGGCCATCTTCTGGCTACTGGTCAAGAGCCCCCAGCTGGCGGCCCAGCCCAGCACATACCTGGCTGTGGCAGAGGAATTGGAGAGCGTTTCTGGAAAGTACTTCAGTGGACTCAAAGAGAAGGCCCCGGCCCCTGAGGCTGAGGATGAGGAGGTAGCCCGGAGGCTCTGGGCTGAAAGTGCCCGCCTGGTGGGCTTGGACATGTCCGATGGGTCCTCTGATGGGGGGCAGCCTCTCCCCAAATAACCTCTGGGAGTAGGTGTATGGAGCCCCAAGACTTAGAGTTGCTGGATGCAATACCCACATTTCCCTCTAGGTGGCAGTGTGGTACTACATGACTTTCTCACTGGCCACAGCATCTGGCCGGGGGCTGGCCTATGCGATGTACCAACAAGTGAGCTGGACTGTCAAGTGTCTGCCTTGGAAATCTCACCTGGGAACTGACAGGTAAAGAGTTGGCTCCCAGTGGTTGTTGGTGATGTCAAGAGCCAATGGCAACTATGCTGGAGGCATATATGATGTCCTTCCTCCCCTCCCACCAGCTGTAAAATGTCTTCAGCATCACCCCTCCTTGGTGTTATGGGGGCAGGGTAGTATCATGTCCATGGTGATAACTGTTAAGAGCGTGGGCAAGGAACGTTAACAGCTCCTGTGGGGGCTTGTACACGCCCTGTCCCCCCTCTGAGCCTCGGTTTCTTCAACTGTAAAATGGGCATAATAACCATCCTACCTCGTTCAATGGTGTGATGATCAACGTGAATGGCAGCTGCACATTTCTTGCTGGTGAATGTTTATGGAAGGGCTTCTGTGTGTCAGGCCCTGGAGGGTTGCTAGGGATACCGCGGAGAGCAGGTTGACCCAGACTCTGGCCTCATGACAGCCGAGTCACGCTCACGACAGAGCCGCTGGAGTGAAAGATCCCAACTTTGCCACTGAGGACTCAGGATTGCCTGGGATTACGACCTTCCTGGTAATTTGGTTTTTTTTTTATTTTTTTTTTCCTGGTAATTTAAATGAGTTTAGACTCTCAAACTCACTCTCTTTTAAATTGTGGTAAAATATATATAATAAAATGTTTGTCATTTCAACCATTTTTATGTGTACCGTTCAGTGGCATTGATTATGTTCGTTACGTTGTGTGACCTTCACTACCATCCTTTTCCACATTTTTCCATCATGTTTAACAGCAGTTCAGTGTCTCCTAAGCAATGAGTTCGCCTTTCTTTCTCTCTCCCACCCACCCCTGGTAACTACTAATAACCTTCGTTGTTGTTGGGTGCCTTCTAGTCAGTTCTGACTCATAGCGACTCCATGTGGCCAAGTAGAACTGCTCCATAGGGTTTCCTAGGTGGTAATCTTTATAGGGACAGATTGCCAGATCTTTCTCCTACAGAGCCTCTGGGTGGGTCCAAACCACCAACCTTTAGGTTAGCATCTGAGTGCTTAACCATTGTGCCACCAGGGCTCCTTTACCAATAACCTTAGGTCTGTATATACTTGCCTATTCTAGATGTTTCATGTAAGTGGAATCATACAGTATTTGTCCTTTTGTGACTAACTTATTTCAAACAGCGTGATGTCAACCTTTTTTATCTTTTTAATTGTGGCAAAAATATACCTAACAACACACCTGGCAATTCATCAGTTTCTACATTTTCTATGTGTACAATTCAGTGGCATTGATTCCATTCTTCATGTGCAGCCATTCTCACTGTCCTTTTCTGAATTATTCCACCACCATTCACATAAACTCAGTGCCCCCTAAGCAAAAACTCCACCTGCAAGCTCGCTCTTGAATTAAAAAACAATCTAGCAATCAAAGGTTTTATTATTTTTTCCCCAAGTATATAGGGAAGTGCTAATGGGAGCTGAACAAAGACAACTCAAGTATTTATTCCTTGTAGGGCACTGAGATGCCAATTTAAATATGACCAGGGCAACAAGCCAAGCAGATGTTCACACTTTTCAGAGATGAAAGTTTTCTTCCACTGCTGAGGGCAACAAACAGTCTTTGAAGACTCTGTCTTATGAGACTTTGTGTTACAAACGGGGTTGGGGCTAGGGTGAGGCAAGCGAGGCAGTCATATTGAGCACAGAATTTAAGATGGTGCCAAGAAACTAAGAAGTAAAGATAAGCTATACCTCGACTATTAACCTTAGCATTGGTGGTTTGAACCTACCCAGTGGCACTGCACAAGAAAGGTATGGCAATCTGCTTCCATAAAAATTACAGCCAAGAACCCTGTGGAGCAGTTCTGCTCTAACACATGGGGTCGGAATTGATTAGATGACATTAAAAAAAAAATTTTTTTTTAAATACATAAAGTTTCTTAAGGTAGCCCAGGTGGCGCAATGGTTAAGTGCTTGGCTGCTAACCGAAATCTTGGCAGTTCGAACCCACTCAGTGGCTCCGTGGGAGAAAAGGCCTGGCAATCTGCTCCTGTAAAGATTATAGCCTTGGAAACTATTGGGCAGTTCTCCTCTGTTCTGTAGGGTGGCTATGAGTCAGAATCGACTTGACGGCACCCAACAACGACAACGAAGTTTCTTCTGTGCAGGAGATTGGACTCTTCTACCCTATTTAGTTATTTATTGAATCATTTAGATATATCAATATAGACTCATGAATATTTATTTCATAATTTAAGTTACATTATCCAACATAACTTCTATTTTAGGTTACTGTATTCATTACCTATTGCTGTGTAGCAAATTGCCTCAAAACCTACAGCTTACCAAAGACTTGTTGTTAGCTGCCTTTGAGTTGTCCCCTGACTCATGGTGATTCCATGCACAATGGAATGGAATGCTGTCCAGTCCTGCATCACCCCCATGATCACTTGCAGATTGGACTGTTGTGATCCATAGGGTTTTCAGTGGCTGATTTTTGGAAGTAGATTTCCAGGCTTTTCTTCATCCCTGTCTTAGTCTGGAAGCTCTGCTGAAAACTGTTCCATGAATAACTGCCTACTTTGCCATGAGATCAGAAAAATGGGATGGTGCCCAGCTACTATTATTGAATATTTTGGTCAAAGATTTTATAGACGAATTCTGATCAAAAGGGGGGAAATGCAGAACAGAATTTAAAATTTTCATAGAATCCAGATTTTCTAGAGCCATAAAGGCTGGATTAACACCTAAAACTATTGCCCTGAGATATTCTTTCGACCTTAAGCCTTAAGCCAAAAATATTCCCTGTTGTGTGCTGTCGAGTTGATTCCCACTCATAGCGACCCTATAGGACAGAGTAGAACTACCCCATAGGGTTTCCAAGGCTATTATCTTTACGGAAGCAGACTGCCACATTTTTCTCCTTTGGAGCCGCTTGGTTCAAACTGCTGACCTTTTGGTTAGCAGCCGAGCATTTAACCACAGAGCCACCAGGGTTGCTTGTTCAGCGTCAGAGCATTTGTACTTGTCGCAGGAAGAAGCTCCAGACCCTTCCTGATTGGTCTGCCCTTCCCTTCCCACCTATGTTACAATGTCTGTAACATCACTCCTCCCTGGTATTATGGAGGCTGGTTAGTATAGTGTCCATGATGATAATGAACAAGATCAGATGTGTGGGGGAGCCTACCATGGTGCCTGATACATTGAAACAATCTGGAAAGTTGTAGAAAGTTCCCTGCAACGGGGTCAGCTGGATAGCCAGAGATGATTTATTTTTGCCATCATGGGGTTTGCGTTTGAGAAGCAGACAACGGAAGTGGTTCTTAATAGAAAACCAGATTTTTATTTCTTAGTGGGCAAAACCAAAATAGGAACCTGTGGTCAGGGATGAGCTTTCCAAGATGTGTATGGGAAAAGATTCTTAGATAGCAGCTCAAGGGGAGGGAAAGAGGAAGTGGAGGGGAGAAAATTGGCCAAGGAAGCCCTATGGGAGTTTTTTTTTTTTAATTAAATATTTTATTTTTGTGGTTGAGAATATACACAGCAGAACATACACCAATTCAACGCTTTCTACATGTACAATTCAGTGACACTGATTATATTCTTTGAGTTGTGCAACCATTCTCACCCTCCTTTTCCGAGTTGTTCCTCCCCCATTAACATAAACTCACTCCCTGATAAGGTTCAGATCTAATCTTTTGAGTTGCTGTTGTCAATTTGATCCCATACAGATTGTACTTAAAAGAGCACAACACTAAAGGCAGACACTCTTTACTAGTTAAGCTAAACTATTATTTGGTTTTAAGAAGACTTCAGGGAATATTTTTGGTTTAAGGCTTAAGGTCTAAAGCATATCTCAGGGCAACAGTTCTAGGGGTTCATCCAGCCTCTATAGCTCTAGAAAATCTGGATTCTATGTGACTTTGAAATTCTGTTCTACATTGCCTCCCTTTTGATCAGAATTCTTCTGTCAAATCTTTGATTAAAATACACAGTAATAGTAGCTGAATACCATCCAGTTTTTCTGGTCTCATGGCAAAGGAGGTAGTTATTCATGAAAGCAATTAACCACCCGTTCCTATGGAGCAGTAATAATCTAACACATGAAGTCGCCATGAATTCGGAAATGACTCAGTGGCAACTGGTTTGGTTTTCTTGGGTGGTGCAAATGGTTAATGCACTAGGCTGCTAACCAAAAAATATGTGGTTTGAGTCTGAAAAATCAACCATTGAAAACCCTATGGAGCTCCGCTGTACTCTGACACACATGGGGTCACCATGAGCTGGGATTGACTCTTCAGCAAATGGTTGGTTGGTTGGCTGGTCGAAGAGGGCAGTAGTAGTTCAGGGGTAGAATTCTTACCTGCTATACGGGAATAAAAAAGCGAACCTATTGCCGTTGAGTCGATTCCGACTTATAGCGACCCTATAGGACAGAGTAGAATTGCCCCATAGGGTTTCCAAGGAGTGCCTGCTGGATTCTAACTGCCGACCTTTTGGTTAACAGCCGTAGCTCTTAACCACTGCACCACCAGGATTTCCCCATATGGGACATCTGCGTTCAACTCCCAGCCAATGCAGCTCATGCTCAGCCACCACTCGTTCGTCAGTGGAGGCTTTCATGTTGTTATGATGCTGAACAGGTTTCAGCAGAGCTTCTAGACTAAGATGGGCTGGGAAGAAAGGCCTGGTGATCTACTCTGAAAAAATGGAAGGAGCCAATCCCAGCCCACCAGGGAAGCTGAGATCACATGAGGATTTGGAGAAAACTTTTATCTGGACACACAAAGTCAATTATTGCCTGGAAGGTCTTCTTTGTAGATGTGTGCAGTGCGGCTTGGGGTTAATTCTGTCCACAAATCCTCACCACCAACAACCACTTCCTTTCCAGGACTGAGAAACACCAAGGACCACAGACAATGACTTACAAATCAGTGTAATCCCCACCTACTTCCCTGAGCCTTTGAGATGGCGCACAATCTGTGCCATAACCTGAAGAGAGATGAAAGATGATAAAATCTATCTAAAAAGCCACAGACGCTCAGAGAGGAGATTGCAGCAAAGTGATAAGCGGATTGGGGAACTAAGCCAGAAAAGGTGGTGTAGGTGGTGGACTCATCACAAAAAACTCTAGTCAATGCCAAACACTCCATACTGCTGCTGGGTCCTTGGGAATTCCGTCAGGATGCCTTGCGCTACCAGTGACAGGAAATACTCAAACGACAATGGTTGTTATTGGTTGTTGCGGGCTGTTGAGTCAATTCCCACTCATAGAGGGCCCTGTATGACAGAGTAGAACTGCCCCATAGGGTTTCCTAGGCTGTAATCTTTATGGGAGCACATTGCCAGGTCTTTTCTCCCTCGAAGCAGCTGGTGGGTTCGAAACACCAACCTTTCCGTTAGCAGCTGAGTGCTTAACCAGGTCTCCTTCAAATGGCAGTAACGGGGCTGATAGTCAGCTGGTATGTATTGGTGCAGAGGTCCCTGAGTGGCACAAATGGTTTCCTTTCAGCTACTGACTGAAAGATTGGCAGCTCGAATTCACCTAGCGGCACCACAGAAGAAAGGCCTGGTA